CCTACTTGTTGTTTCTGAGCAATCTCATTTGCAAACACGATTGGCGGCTCAGTTTTGGCCCTTCTTTCCTGCCTATGGCGAACATCATCGATCCATCGCTTTTTCTCTTCGATTGCGTTGATCACCTACACAAAGGGTTCAATAACAGTGCTGACTCATCATTCGCAAGAAAAAATGTTCAAGAAATCAAATGTTCAAGCGGCGCTACAATCAATCAACATTCAAAATCAAACCTTCTCCATGTCAGCGCTGTCAATGTGGGCGTGTGCCTCACCGCCGGCCACGTAGTCTTCGTAAGCTTTGCGCACACGGATGATTGACCTATCAAAAGCTTCGAATGCTGGCTGAAATGGAAGAACATGGTTGACTATCACAATATCCTCCACTTGAGCCTACCTTCCTTGCTTCAAACTCTCTGTAACGTTCAATTATAGGGTCACCAAGTTTTCGGAGTTCGGCAAGTCGTTGCTCATAAACCTACAATAAAAAACATTTGATCAGAAAAATAAGAATTGCTAACATGTAAGCAAAAAGTTACCGGCTTCTCAGCGTCTTCACCCTCATCATACAACCAATCCTCCACTGCAGTCAGTTGTGAACGAAGTGCCTCTGCATCCTAGAATTTCAGAAGATAGCAACGTCATTTTGGCACAAACAAAGCAAAAATCGAAACAGAAAAAAATCAGGACTTGTGTCCAATATGTAACCAACCTTCTCGGTAACGAATTCCGCCAATGAATCTGATAGTTTGTCTCGCATATCATACACGTACTCCTCAACGCTATTCTTGGCATCAGCCTTTTGCTTCTCATGGAGATCAGCTTCTTGCATTTTCATCTGCAATTATCAATAAAACACAAGCAGGTGGGTTGGTAGCGTAAAAAACCATAGAAAGAATCATAGAATTATGAAAAAGCAAAGAAAATTCCAAACGAAGACAAAACCTCAGCGCGTGTGTACTTGTCGATGTCGTAAACAACAGGTAGTCGCTCCTCAATCTTCAGCTCCGTAGAGATGGTCTTGGTTTTGGGCTTTGGTGGTGCAGATGGTTGCGCAGGAGCATTAGC